CATGCCCATCAGAGTTATCACGTGCAAGGTAACCAAGGTTATTTTCAAAGCACCAAGCAGGTACAAAATATATAAAAATCACATTTGAACCACCACAGTTGGACGCAGGATTTAAAAGGAAAACTTATTTTTGCCATTTGTATAGGTAATCACATGATTTAGAGTGCAATTTGGAATAAATAAGCACGAGTAAATTTTTTTCAGAGACTAACAAAATTGCATGAGCCCGTAGGGGAGTGCAATTTGTGATCTGAAAAAATTTACAAGTGCTTATTTATTCCAAATTGCACGAGAAAATCATGTGATTATGTATTAATAATATAAATGAAAAAATACGAGGTAGCTTCTCGTAACTATGCAGAAGAAAAGCGCATGCATCAGGTACAAAAACAATTTATTTAAACCCTGCAAGTGACATTGACCTTGACATTGACCAATCAGAATGTCTGGTTTGTTTCTTTCTTTGCACTGAATTAACCCTCTTCTGCACTGAATTAACTCTCTTCTGCACTGAATTAACTGAGTACTGCATTCATCTTAACCAATCAGAACTGAGAAATTTTTTTGTGTATATTATTAGTACTAGAAACTTACACTTTCAACACCAAAAACAAAAGGAAACTTTGACTTTGATTCATCTACACTTATTTTCAAGGACTTTTTGCAAATTTTCAAGGACCTCTGTATAAATTCAAGGGTAATTTCAAGTCCTTGAAAACAAAAATTTAAATTCAAGGACTTACAAGGACTTTCAAGGAGTGTGGGAACCCTGAACTCAAATCAAAGTAATTACATTGTCAAGAAGTTCAAAAAAAGAAAGAAAACTTAAATATTACTGGTAGACAAAGATAGCTAAGAATTTTGAAAACACATATTGTCCATGGACACACGGTAAAAAAATGGCCAAGCCAATTAACTGAGCCAGACTTGTTTGAATTAAAAGTTTACAGGGTATCAAAATTAATTTAGAAACGAACCGTTCCCCAATTCCTTATGAATCTGTGATAAGTCCTCTGGTCATATGTTTGTGGTAAGCTACAGACAGCAGCAGCAAATTCACTGGTTACAGGAAAATGTTTCCATTTGACAAGGTCCAGTTGGTACCGTGCTTTTCCAAGATTGTGTACAGTTTTCTCCTCATAAAAGACATTTTTTGCTTGAAAAGTTTGGTAAGAAACCTTCTGATACACTACAATAATCAAGGGCAAAAGAATAACAAAATGAATCAACTACCATTAGTAATCATTCAATCAATCAATCAATCAGTCAATCAATCAATCAATCAATCAATCATTCCATCATAGATTCTAAACAATTCAACATATCTGTCAATCACCAATCAATCAGCCAGCCAGCCAGCCTGCCATCCAGCCTGCCATCCAGCCATGCAGTCATCCAGCTAACCATCCCACCCAACAGCCAGCCAACCAGACAATAAAACAGCCAGCTGACCAGCTGGCCAGCCAACCAGTTCAGTAAGTTTCATGTAGTGAGTCAGTAGTCAGTCAGTCAGTCAGTCAAACTGCTTATATTCACTCAGGCAGTTAGTTGGTCAGCCACTCAGTTTTTATGTTGGTCAGTTTGCCTTCCAGAAGGAGGTCCTCCACACAGGAACTGTTAAAAATTAACAGTTCTCATGTTTTTTTTTTGTCATGCTGTTTATGATGATTCCTTTCCACTCCAGTTTTTATGTGACATGCCATTAGTTATGGTTAGGACTGCATGAGTGGGGTGACTTATTCTGTCTGCAATTATACAAGTCATGGAAACTTTGCATATAACAGAAGAGATTGGGGTAAGAACCAGGCTGGCAAGTGGGAAGTCTCATCAATTATATTTTCTTACTTGTACTGAGGCTGAATGCAAGTTTCCATAATGCAATGTTCACACCACCTACCAAGAAAGTATACAAATATATATGAAAGGTTTCAACAGAAGTACACAAACAGATGAGTAAAATTTTCTGAAATTTCACAAATCAACTTAGTCACCAAGCCATAGTTGTCATAACTGTTGTCATAGTGACCAAACCTTTGGTTTCCAGCCCCCTCTAAATTGGATCACTGAGAGTGTGTGAAAAAACACACACACACACCTGTGTGTATATATACCTCTGTCCTTAAATCGATGCTATNGGCACCTTGTACTTCTTATTAACTGAAAGTTTTTGGTCATTCCACGTCAGTTTCAGTATTTTTCTGGTAGTTTTCAGCTCTGGGTCAATTCCACCTTTTGATGGATCACCGTCTGGATTTCCCCTCAGGATATCATAGCCAACACCGATAACATGTAGGCCTTTAGCCGTTGTAGGATTACCGTAACCGGGGGTGAAAGCGATACGAAGAGCGACAATAAGGACGAAAAGATGCATGGTTGCTTTCGCCTTTCAATGGAGCAAATGTGTAAAGAAACACGTCAGTCGATTGCCAAGGGTTGTACTTCCTTCTTCCCTTAGCTCTGATGCGCGCTGGCGCAGAAGTCGTCAGCGGCAGTTTGCACGAAAAGTAAAGGCCTATTCAAAAATAGCAGCAAATAATGATAAAAAACAGAACACTTTTAAGGCGTTTCTGTAACCAACTCCTCGAGCGGCTCGTTCATGGAGCTCCTACAGCGCATCGGCGTCACTTCAAGAGTTTCCGTGGCGCGCTAACGTCAACTTTTTTTCACTGATATTTTTTGATTCGCGCGACGGACTTCGCTCAACTATTCGTATTCTTGGAACTCACAAGAAACAAGCTGGAGCTTGTAGGTACATTACAGGATGGCTACATAAAGGAGATCGGTCTTTCTAATAATGCGAAGCTCGGTCGCTCTAGAATGATCGGTCTCATGGCCCCGATCGTTCTCATGATGCCATTTCAAATTTTTATACTTGTTTGGATTTTGGTACAAGGCTACGGGGGAAGCGCTAAAACAAGCATGAATGAGAATATATATAACGCTCACTTTTACAAGGCTCGACGCTACAGAAAAGAATTAGTCTCCAGCGAGGTTTAAGGGAGAGAATTTTCTCAAGAGGCGGCACCGAGTTCGAGAAAATCCGGGAGGATGGTCGCGTGATACAAAGTTGTAGCGACACGTCGATTGTTGTCGTCACGCAAACTAAGCCGCTCCAAATGATTCATTCTATTAAATAACAAGGGGTAACAACCAAATTTTCTTTTACGTGCAGCGCTGTGATCGAGATTTGCAATTGACTCAGGTGAGGGGAGGGGAGGGGGCGAAAATGCGTGGTTCGTTGTCAACCACTCTAGTTCCTAGTTGTACTGGTCTATGGTGGCCGAGAACTGCCATTAAAAATATTCAAATTTATAGGAATTATTTTAGTTATTTTTCTTTTAATTTCGATTTATTTCTCATTTTTATTTTTAAAATAAAAGTAAGTGAAAGTAAAATATAAAATAGAAATAAAATGAAACCAAAGATAAAAGAAATCAAATCAAAATTAAATACTACCCGGCCGAGCGCTGCCACTAGTTTCTTTTTCTTTTTTTTTTCCGCGGTCGGAAAAAAAATTTTTTTTTCGTGGCCGAACGCTGCCACATGGCTGAGGGCTGCCAAACAAACCCAGAATTATTTGCAGGATACCTTTCAAGGTTCTAGTATGGAGGATGCCACGTGGAAAAAGTTAAAAGAGAAAGTGACTGCGAAAAGAGGGAAGAAGCGTGATGCAGGAGATACAACGCATAATTAAAGGAAAGGAGCTGTATAATAATAACTGTCGAATTCAATGAAGAAAAAGAGCCGTTTGCTCACGGTGGGTTTCGCAATGCATACAAAACAACCAAAAAGCACCCACAGTACAAGGGGAATACCTTGGTCACTAAAAGATGCCTTCCTGATCGATGCTGTGAAGGGAATAAATGACATTGGGCAAACTGTCTAACAACACACCCAAAAGGCGGTTCAGATGCATCTTCTTGCAAGGAATTTTGCACGCCAGTCGGAACAAAAAATCATTGAAAAACAAGCTATTGATGCATTCGGGAGAGGTCTTAAGGTATAGAAAGATCTACTAATGTGAAGATGATAAAGGAGAATTTGTGACTTTGGAGGAGTTTATTGATAGACAGTTTACCAAGTACTTAAACAATACTGGTGATTGTTGTGTCGAGGAAACAGATGTTATGGGTCAGAAGGCTCAATGTCTAACCCATTTTTCTTATAAAAAGTCAGACAAAAAACTCATGCTGCTAGACATACAAGGACATGGGTATGAATTATTCGACCCAGAAATTGCTTCTAGCTCATGAAATTTTTGATGGTAGTGCATTCTGGGTTTGTTTGGCAGCCCTCGGCCATGTGGCAGCGTTCGGCCATGAAAAAATTTTTTTTCCGACCGCGAAGAAAAAAACAAAAATAACTAGTGGCAGCGCTCAGCCGGGTAGTATTTAATTTTGATTTGATTTCATCTATCTTTGGTTTCATTTTATTTCTATTTTACATTTTACTTTCACTTACTTTTATTTTAAAAAGAAAAATGAGAAATAAATCGAAATTAAAAAAAATAATAATAATTCCTATAAATTTGAATATTTTTAATGGCAGCTCTCGGCCCCCATACCTATGTTCTCCACGTCGAAACTTGAAGTCCCTCGAAAAACAAGTTCTTTCGCCAACGAATTCTAAGAATTTGCTTGGAGAGCAAGGCAAAGGAGGATGCTCAGGAAGTACGGACCCGTTTGTTCGTGGGCAAATTATTCGCATGTATCCACTCATTCTTGCTTGTTTATAGGGTGCAACTCCGGTATCCAACATAAGCGATCATTTTTAAGACGTAAANATTTGCCTCATAGTCCAGTCTTTAGAATGGTTTCTTTAGAATAATAAACTTTATTTGGCAATAATTTCCATAAAATCCTCTACAGTACAAAATATTAACAGTGTAAAAAAACGATCGAAAATAACTCACTTTCGGCTCACATTATCATTATTATTATTATTATTATTATAATTATTGTTATTATTATTATCATTATTATTAATATTGAGGCATCAAATCAGTAGGACCTAACACCATGTTAAATTAACTTCTGGTTTCTAAAGCGCTTACTAACACTGGTTTACAAGTTACTTTCCCTTAATTTTTCATGTTCGCTTCGAATGTTCTTGAAGCATTAGTTCCGTCTGCGGCTGCGCGTGGGGCCTGGTATTGGGTTAGGTGTAATAACAGTAGTGAACTTTTATATTGCGGTTTGAAATCAACTCAGCATTGATCGGTCCATGGATTCTGGACTGCGGATCTTTATCTTCGGTGTCCCAGTAAAAGTACTGTGATTTTTCTACCATTCCATCCACTTTCTGACAGAGGTGGGTGTTACCCTTAATTAGCACAAACGGGGAGCCAGTTGGGAGGCGAATAGCTTCAGTGGCATCTCCATCCGTTCGGCAACAGTATTCGATATAAGTGTTACGGCCGTAACTGCCTTCTGGAAGCGTGCCACCGTCTTTGTTGTTGTTCTTGTGATCTTCATCGTCCCAACGAATGTGTGCCTCCTCGAAATCTGCGCAGGAAACATTTACTGCAGCATTAAGCTTGAATTAAATCATTTATTTAACAGGAGATGTAACGTATAAATATCATGATTTATCATTTCACCATTACGCCATTTCAACATATTAGGGCAACGGAACACGAAATATATCCGACGCTATTACACTGTAGACCAGGCAAAAATACGAACTGGAAGCAGAGCAACAAAATGGCCCTACTGAACGATTCAAACTTTGAATTCTTTCAGTTTATCAAGTTAGGTTTGACTTCTTGAGCAACCAACTTTTAAGCGCAATTTGGTTTTTTGTTGGTCATAAAAAATAGCTTCGTTTTCATTGTTTTCGTCTTTCACGCACACCTTAGGCAATCGTCACGTTGTTAAAGTAAGACCATAACATGTACTTCGAAAACTAGAGGCACAAGTGCTAGAAAAATGAAATAATAGCGTAATAATAAATCCTTTATTTGACAGATTAACATGGGCAGACATTTTGCTTATTGCTCGTACTTTCCTTAGGGAGCTCGGCGAAACACCTCGAAACTTTCAAAAATCGCGCGTATTGTATGATAAACCATGGAATAAGGAGTATGAATAAAACTACAAAGTGCCAAAATTCTTGTGAAAATCATTGTTTATTATCTTTTAGAGAGGAAGGTCATGTGACTGGTTCAAGATCTGCTATTAAGGGATGAAAGTACATGTAACGGCCACAGATATTATCTTTTTGAAAGAGTCGCACAGGAGGATCTGAGGCACGGATTACATTTTCATCGAAAAAGAAGTTCTTGTACTAACCTGCGGGGCAAATTTCTTTTTTGAAGATGCAGTACTTTCCTTCAGGCCATGGCATATCATATCTGGATGTTCGAGATTTAGTCTTGATACAGAATTTTTGTACCATGTTACTTTTGTGGATGTGTCCAGCCAAATCGTAAGGGTTTGACCAATAGCTGCTTGGGTTGTTATCTTCGGTCTCGTGGTATCGCCAGCCCGTACGCCAAAAACCTCCGTTTGGACATCCTGAATTTGCCATAGGGAATCCATAGGTACCCAGTGGCCATGTTAGAGGAATGCGGACTGTGGGATCTAAAAGCATTTACAAAAAACCTTGTAAAGCGACGACTCCTCAAGGTAGAGTTGCACGTTATTTTAGCAGAATGAATACGTACTTATGAATTAATGAAGTTACTGCTCAAGGGTATGTTTCTTCGTCGAAGCTGCAAATAGTGAGCTTCCTTAATTTGGAAGAAGACTGAGTGGGAAAGAAGGATGAAAAAGTATTTGAACATGAATTTCTAGTCATAAAAAGAAGAATACTTAGAAAAAAATTTTAGGAGCTGCGTTCAATGCTTCCTTTTTTTTTTTTTACAATAAACAGAGCAGTAAACTTACTAACGTCAACAAAACCGGAAAAGTTATCAGATCGCAGTCTTCTAAGAAAGAGGAAATTTCGTTTAAAAAAGGTTAGTTAAATTAAACGGGTGGTCCATCTTTACAGTGGCTTCTACTGGTCATTTTTTTGAAAGCATTATGACATTCCAGAAAAGTTAATTCTTCCTTGCAAAGCCTCAATTTTGTCGCTGCATAAGACAGTGTCGTTATCGGGGAAAAAACAGTAGTTACTGGGGAAAAGCGGATAATAGAGATCAATTTTGGAAGCGTACAGCTCTTTGTAGAATATTTTGTTATGCACATGTTATATTACTAATATTAAGTTAATACTTGTGCAATGACACACTTTGGAGTAGACTGAAAGTTTTGCGCGCGTAAACCGTTCCGGGGCCCAAGATCAATTGTAGAAATAAACAAGCGTAAGTCATGTTACAGGAAATAAAACATGAAACCTGTCTTTCTTTATTTTAAAATAAATTTGTACGTGTTTGTTTCTCTTAATATCGATCTTGCTGTTTGATCTGTTATTGTTGTAAATATGCAGCCTGTGATTCTACAAATCTAATTATAACATAACCAAAGTAAAGCACGCGTTCTGGTTGGTCAATTGAGCGTCCACCATTTGCCCATGGGTGTACGCTGCTGACGTGAGGAGCTAATGGTGAGTTTTTTTCTGTTCACATAAGATTTGTTAGATAAAAGAAAACTCCTTTGCTACAATTAATGTTATGTTATAAAACAAATGTTAAACGCCACAGTGTACACTATTCAACAAATGGTAAACACCACAGTGTACACTATTGAGTTATGGATGCGCGCGGGAGGTTACCAAGTACGAAAGAAGCGTAAGAGTCGCGCGAGGCGATAGCGAAAAACTATTCTTTGCATTTGCTCACGTCAGCAGAGTACACCCATGGGCAAATGGAGGACGCTGAATTGACCAATCAGAGCGCGCGCTTTACTTTGGTTGTGTTATAATGAGTTATGGATGCAGTTGGGAGGTCTGCTAAGCACTAAATAAGCTATAGTCGCTCTCGGCTATCGTCTCACGCGACTCTTGCGCTTCTTTCGTGCTTAGCAACCTCCCGTGTGCATCCCTAACTCAATCGTGTACGCTGTGCTGTTTACAATTGTTAACTATCAAATTTAGTGGTGTGAGTAATGCTACTCACTCACCTCGCGGACTCGTTCTAGCTCCTTCCAAGCTTGGGTATTCTTTCAAAATCTTTTTCACGTGCGCCCTCAGTTGAGCCAATTTCTTACATTGGTATTGCTTATTGAATGCCTTGAAGAAGCTGTCGTCAAACACACGGTCAATGGATACCAATTTCAATCCAATGGGTTCAGGGATTTTACGTGTACCACACCGAAACACAACTTTTTCACTTCCAAATGAGGTGCCAGTTTTCATGGACGCTTTGAATCTTTTAAAGTTAACGGAAAGAGAGCTACTATACCATAAGAACCGACCAGTTACAGACACTGCGGTTTTCACCTAAGGGAAAGAAACAAAAAAACCAGAGTGAGCAAAAACAAACGAAAACTCTCCGTGAAAAAGTGTTCATTCACATTTAAATCACGCGGGAGCAGTTTTCATTTTTCCTTTAGATTTCGCAGCAGTTGGCAACGATAAATTGGTAATTTTTCAAATTATGGGTTTTACACAGCTAATATAAATTGTCGTTAAAAGGCATCATAGTATCACAGAAATCCATAAAGAATGAAAACTTATTGTTTTCAAATTTCAGTTGAGTCAGCCGTGTACAGCTCAACGAGCTAGGTTGTTGGCTAATCTTTTGTTGTTATCAGAATGAGTCTTTGGAGCATAACGGTAAGTTAACACTCTCCTCTAGCAGTTAGATCCAAATGGAATGTGACTGGCTTACGTGCAATTAAAAAACGACACTTGAATGCCGAGTAACAAAGTCTATATCTCACTGAGCAGCCTGGAATTATTTCAGTGAGAGGAAAAACCTAACGATATCTGAAACGATAGCTGAATGAAGACTTTTCCACTCGATACTCACATTTTTCAAGGCATACTTGAAGAAATCAGTATATGAACTCCTGTAACGTTCAATCTTCTTGGTTCCAAGTTCCACCTCGCTGACAATATGCTGCAAGGAAAGTAAAATTTCCCTAAGGTCCTAGTAGTAGCAAGTGTGTTAATTCATTGATTGAAGATGGCATAAGCATACCGAAACATGTCTCTCAAAAAAGTTGTCTATTTCTTACAAAGTATAATTTATGCACAAAAATACATAACGCTCTTCAGTCTGCAGTTTAACTTAACTATTCTACGGGCAGGTTCTAATAAAATAAATAAAAATGAAAAGTATCTTTATCACTCAGTTACCTATGTGCAGTGTATAGCTTGCACATATTACAGGTACTGTTTATTTCATTTCTATTCTGAGACAAAAAATGCTTTGATGTATAATGGGAAGCTTAATCTTATTATTATCAATATCATTACAGTAATACTAATCACTTATATATTAGTAGTACGCCTCCGTTGGTCGGTATCGATCATGAATACTGCACCCTCGGAGTTCGTGGTGTTGCGAAAAAAACAGCGTCGTCCGTGGCTAGGAAGGCCAATGTGGGAGTGCCAGTCTCTGCTGCACAAAGAGCAGATGAAGTTACTCATGGGAGGTATTCGTGTCCGCCTGGCTCTCCTATGTTCTGCCAGGTTCAGGATCTTCTCCTCACCTGTCTTCAGCCGTTTCTCGAGCAAGCAGCACCAGCTGCTGCAGTTTGCTGTGGTGTCCTCCCAGATCTCTGTTTTGATGTCCAGAGCTTTCATGTCGCGCCTGCAGACACCTTTATATCTCACCTGGGGAAGCCTTGGGGTCTATTGCTGAACGCGAGTTTAACATGGAAGATGTCCTTTGGGATCCGGCCGTCTTCCATACGGCGCACGTGCTCTTGCTTGGCATAAGTTGTACAAGATTCACTCCCGTACGGGAGGGTGCTGACTATATGCAGGCGTTGTACACTGCCATCTTGGTTAGAGTGATCAGCTTGGGGTTCTCCCTGACGCGAGTGGTCAGTCGTCCTAGGGTTGTTGCGGCCTTGCCCATGCGTTTCTTGATTTCGGCATCTAAGGACAGGTCGTCGCTGATGGTGGAACCAAGGTAAGTGAACTGGTTTACCAGTTCAAGTTTACAGTTGTCAATGGTTATGACAGGTGGTATGTCCACATCTTGGCCCACCACGTTGGTCTTCTTCAGGCTCATGGTTAGTCCGAAGTCTTTGCAGGCCTGAGAGAATCTGCCCATCCGACACTGTAAATCTTCTTCAGTGTGTGAGGTGACTGTTGCGTCATTAGCTAAGATGATGGTCTCACTCACCTTAGTTTTCGCTCTGAGTCTTGCGTTGTTTTAGATTCTACTCTCTGATCTTATGTGCATGTACAACCCTTCGGTTGAATTCCCAAATGCATGTTTCAGAAGGAGGGAGAAGAGGATGCCAAAGAGGGTTGAAGTAAGGACGTAGCCTTGCTTTACGTCACTTTTGATCTCAAAAGATTCGGACATACTGCCCTCGTACTGGATAGTTGCCTTCATGCTGTCATGAAAACATCTGATCATGCTGTGAGGATTCGGGGGAAGGTGGCATAGAGGGCCTTCTGCTGTTCCCTGCAATTCTACTGTAGTTGGCGAAGGGAGAAGATGATGTCCACTGTAGAGCGTTCTGCTCGAAAGCCACAATGGGACTCAAGGTAGACGGGTTCCACCAGCTGTTGAAGATGCACTAACAGGATTCTGGCACACAGTTTGCCCACGATACTCAACAGGGAGATGCCTCTGAAGTTGTTGCAGTCGCTTCTGTTGCCTTTGTTCTTGTACAGCATACTTGCTGTATGCTGTGATTTGCTCCTGGCTGATCTGAGTGCTTGGAGGGTCTTTCAACTTGGTCAGCACTTGTATTCAGCAAGGGCAGTAGGCTTTGCTTCAATAACAGGAGTCTACTTCGGAGACTTGGCATCAAACCAGTCGCAGTACTTGAAGGTCTTTCTCCCAAAGGTTGCCTCACGATGGTGGTTCCATGACTTGGAAGCAGTGTACTGTGAGTGGCCTGCAGACAGAACATCTTCAACAGACTTTGTGAATTCCTCAAGCTTCTTTGGATGTTGCATTTGGGTCGCATCAATGCGTGACTTCCCTACGTCTTTGGAGCGATGAAGTTCTTAAGTAGCAGTTTGATCCTGCGGCATACCAGTGAGTGGTTGGAGTTGCAGTCAGCACTGTGTTATGAGTGGGTGAGAAGCACGTCCTTGAGGTTTTTACGTCTGACGATGACCAGGTCGAGCTGGTACCGGTGCTTGGATCGGGGGTGGCGCCATGACACTCTATGTTGTGGCTTCGTCTGGAAATAGGAGTTGGTCACACAGAGGCTGTGATAGGAGCAAAGCTCCCACGGGGGCTGCCCGTTCTCATTGATCTTGCCAACTCCAAAGGAACCCAAGGAGGATGGCCAAGAGTCATGGTCAGCACCTACTTTGGCATTGAAGTCGCCAACGAGGACAAGGTGATCGCTTTTGTGGATGTTTTTGATGGCGTTGTTCAGGTTGGTGTAGAATTCGTGTTTTGCCTCAGGTGAGGAGGTCAAGGTTGGGGAATAGGCACTGATAAGCGTAACTGGTCCTGCAGAGGTATAGAGGGGGAGAGATAGCAGGAACTCTGATCTCTTGTCACCTAGGTCAACCTCTTCAGCAAGGTGTTCCTGACTGCAAACCCTACTCTCTGCTCTCTGCGGTCCTCAGCACTCTTTCCTGGCTAGAAAAAGGTGTAGTCTTTCTCCTTCAAAGATCCGATTCAGCTAGGCGTGTTTCTTGCATAGTGGCTATGTCTATCTTCAGTCTCAGTAGCTCATCGTTGATGACTGCTGTCTTTCTTACATCACTGATTTCCTGGGGGTTGTCAAGTCCAGTTGTCACAGTGCAGACATTCCAACATCCCAGTTTAGGAGCTGGTCTCTTCTTGTTGATTATTCTTTGTGTTTTCTTGCCTGGTGTGGAAGTTACGGTCTACATGTCAGTGTATCCTAATCTGAATCTTTGTCTTTTCTTGCCTGGTGTGGTAGTTACGGTCTGCTTGTCAGTGTATGCTACTCCCTGTGCACCCAATGTGGAAGGCAGACTGTGGCAGGACAGCACCTTACTGGCTAGGGGCTGCCCAGCTTAAGGTGGGCGGTAACTGTCCAATGAGATGCGAAGATCTCTCCCACAGTCAGAAGCAACCCTTGGTGCCACACTCTATGCCTATTGAGCTTTGTAGCTTATTACCAGTAGACTTGTTGTTTCAACGCTATGAAGTGAAGCCCTGGAGAGTGTCCTCTCCAGGGCCCAGACCAAGGCAGGGTGATGTGGAGGACCAGCTGCTGCCCAAGTAGCAGGACTAGTGCCATTGTAGGAGTTGCCAGAGCGACATTGCATGCAACCATGAACTGCCTATGGGACTCCAGCTCCAGATTCCTAGAGGTTTACTCCTGAAGTTTCTCAACAAAAGAGGTGTGGTTGCAAGGCAGCAGAGGTTTTTGACAGAGTTTTCCTTCTCCGCATGAGGCAGTGGCACCAAGTAACATGGTTACTGGTGGCAGGCATAACCTGACCTGACCTTATATATTACTAATATTATAAAATATTTGGGTTTTCATATGGCTCTTAAACCCACATTTGATATCTAAGAGAACTGGGTTCTAGTGCATGCACATTATGTTGACAAGATCAACTTGACATGTATTAATTACTTTTTGAGCACTTAGCTCATTCATGGAGCTCCAGTGGAGCATTAACCACTTCAAGAGCTCCCTGCTGCATGCTAATATCAATTTTTTCCACTAATTTTTTAAGAATTGCATAACAGATTTTGCCAAAAAGGAGGGACTGCTTGTACTCTAAAACTATGTAAAACAAAAAAGACAAAAATAAAAAAAATGGGGTCAAAAAACAGATCTTTGCAATGCAAAAATTAAGTCTAGTCAAATGTAGAACATGGTAGAGGGGCAACTCAGATATTTTTCAAATTCATGGTACAATACACAAAAGTAACTCAAAATTTGGCAAACTCATATAATTTGTTCATAATTTGACACATAGGGTTAAAAAAATGGCCAAACCAAACTGGGCCAGACCCAATCAAATTAAAAGTTAATGAGGTAACAAAGTTAATTTAAAGACCAACCGTTCCCCAATTTTTTATGAATCTGCGATAAGTCCTCTGGTTATATGTTTGTGGTAAGCTACAGACAGCAGCAGCAAATTCACTGGTGACGGAAAAACCTTTCCATTTTACAAGGTCCAGTTGATAACGTGCTCTTCCAAGGTTTTGTACAGTTTTCTCCTCATAAAAGACATTTTTTACATGGAATGTTTGGTAAGAAACCTTCTGATACACTACAATAATTATAAGAGCAAAAGAAGAACAAAATGAATCAACTAATCATTCAGTCAATCAATCAATCAACCAATCAATCAATCTATCACAGAGTTCTGAATCAATATCAATATATTATATATATTGAATCACTATATTGGTCAATCACCATGAGTATATCAGCCAGCCAGCCAGCCTTCAAGGCATCCAGCCATGCAGTCATCCAGTCAGTCAACATTTAGCCACTCAGCCATCCAGTCTTCCCCCTATCCAGCCATCCAGCCAAGCCCCATCAAGCAAAACCAGCCAAAAAGCCAGCCAGCCATGCATCCGGCCACCCAGCCAGCCACTGCAGCCAGCCAGCTGGCCAACTAGCCAACCAGCTATCCAGCCAGCAAGCTATTCATCCAATTCCACCAAGTCATCCATTCAGCCAGCCAGCTGTCCAGCCAGCCAGCCATCCATCCATCTAGCTAAACAGCCAGCCAGCCATCCACCCAGCTAGCACTGCATGCAGCCAAACAGCCATCCAGCCAACAAAACAATCACCTGACCAGCTGGCCAGCCAGCCAACCAGCCAGTAACCCATCTAGCCAACCATTCAGTAAGTTATATGTAGCTAGTAAGTAGCAAGTCAGTAGCTGAGGCTATCAGTTAAATTGCTTTTCATTTAGGCATTTGGTGAGTGTCAGTCAGCACCATAAAATGATAAAGTTTATATGTTAGTCAGTGTGCCATCCAGGAGAAGCTCCTCACAGGAGCAGTTAAAAATTAACACCTCTTGTGTTTTTTTTGTCCTATCCACCCCAGTTTTCTTTTTAGGATTGCATGAGTGGGGTCCAATACTGCATACAATTAAACATGTGATTAATGAAGTTGGACGATTGCTTAACAGGAGTCTAATTTTTTTAATCATGAGTATGATTTCTGACAGAATTGGAAGACACGAAGCCCTATTGCCAATCAATCACAAAAATTACAATTTCCAAATAAAATAGGAAAAAAAAGCTGTGGAAATAAGTCAAAATTGACAATGGGAAACATTTCTCCCATAGGGAAATTGTCTAAATTAAAAAATTCCTCCATTTTGGAAATTCCCCACTTTTGTTGCAAAGTGGTTTTTACTATGGTTATTGAAATCAATAGTCCATTTTACAGTTATGTGCTTGGTTGCCAGGCCTTTGAATGGGAGTGAGGCTAGAGATGACCTTGTTATGATACAAACCTTGCTGCCTTTCAAATGTAAATCACTTTGTTATCATACCAACTAGATACAGGTCTCTATCACAACAAGGTCATCTTTAGCCTCACTCTAAATTAAAGGCTTGGCAACTAAGTGCACAACTGTAAAATGGCCTATTCAATCTGATGAGTAGATTTACTGAGCTGAGTGGACTTAACTGTCCAATTACAAGTGTTTGATTACAGCCGACTGTCCGACTACACTTTGCAATTAAAACTCTACAGAAAAATAAGTGAAAAATAAAGTAGCTAACGCACCAATCACATTTGAGGAAATTGTAATGGTTAGGCCAAAATTAAAATGCGAATTGCGAATTTTACAGAAAGAGGAGCGTGATTGATGATTTTATGAACCAGCACCAGGTGTAATTTTGCATCTGAAATGTGTGACCTATAACTTTTTCCTTCATTACGTAGAAACCTCAAGATTTCCGTGACACTAACTATGGTGGCACATAACGGAAGAGATTGGGTTGAAAACCAGGCTAGCAGCTAATAAGCCTGATAAATTAAAAATTTTCTTACTTGTATTGAGGCTGAATGCAAGTTTCCATAATGCAACGTTCACACCACCTACCAAGAGTGTATAAAAAAATAAATGAAGTGTTTCAACAGAAGTACACAAACAGGTGAGTGAAGTTTTAGGAAATTCCGCGAATCGACTTAGTAACCACGTCAATGTCTAGTTCAAACTGTCGTCATAGCTACTGGATTCCTAGTTCCAGTCCCCTCTCTATTGGATAATTGAAAGTGTGGAAAAACACACACACGCGCATATATATATATATATATATATATATAATTATATACATA